ATATACATTATGCATTGGGGTATAGCTGAGATATTTGTAAGAAGGAGTACATTAGCTTAAAGAAAATGTGTATGAAACTTATATGTGCTTTACAATTTGTACACTTCTGAAAATATTAAGCTCTGAAAGACCAAAGGCAATCGTATGTTTTATACTCTCTAGAAAGAGACCCTTGTTCACCATAAAAATTAACAAGAAAGGGTGATCTAGTATTTTAAATATTTTTCATCATTAAATATTATCACATTTCAACTTCCAATTTTACAGGTACCTACAGAATATTGGACATACAGACCCAGGATCCATAAGACTTTATCACCTTGAATCAAGGATTTATTTGGTATCATCCTCGGTCTTCCTTCATACCAAGTAACATTTTTTTCTTTAAAAAAAAAAAGAACTAACAGTTGCTAAAAGAGAGTTTTTAAAAATAATACTTCCCATACTTTCCAATGCCTAAGAATAGCAAGGTGGTAAAAAGAGAACTAGACGATGAGGTTATTGAGTCTGTCAAAGACCTTCTTTCCAATGAAGACTCAGTTGATGATGCTTTTAAAAAGAGTGAACTAATTGTTAATGTCCAAGAAGAGAAAGACACAGATATTGAAGAAGGATCTGAAATCGAAGATGAAAGACCAGCTTGGAACAGTAAACTACAATACATCCTGGCCCAGGTTGGATTTTCTGTAGGTTTGGGGAATGTGTGGCGATTCCCATACCTATGCCAGAAGAATGGGGGTGGTAAGTTGTTTGGTTTTTTTTGAGGTTTTTTTTTAAGTGAAAAATTACTGTAGTAAATTGCAATTGGCTTTCTCAAATAGCCCCTATTGTTGCTGCAGTCTCATTAATTTTGAAACTATGAATTCCATTGTATAGCTAGGGAGACTCATTTGGGGGAATTGAGCCCAGCTCTGTTTTCAGATTAGGTTTCCATAGGAGCAGATTGGCTTGCTAGGAATCCTCAGGGATTGCTTAAGAGTAATACATTCTCAAATTCTTTCTGTGGATGTTATAAACATCTCTGAATTACTGACAGGAACTTTTCTAACAAATGTTGCACCCTTTGTGCCTATCAGTTATTCCATTTAAAGAATAACCTAAAGCTTCTGATATAAGACAGTACTGGTGAAGGAAGACAGAATTTTCTCTCCATGACTTATTAACTCAATTTTAAGTTGCCTCACTTTTCCAAAAAAGCAAAAATGACATGTAATTATTATGATTTTTTATGAATTATTATCATTTTCAAATGAATTATTATCATTTTCAAATGTCGTAATATTTTGGGACAGTGTTCAATTTCAAAGTTTTTATTGCATAAATTGTACATTTCAGCACACAGAGTAGAAAAAATATTTTCTACTAACAGATAAAAAGCTAAGGTGTTATGGTGACAAAATATGTTTAAGATATCTTTTAGTTAATTCAAGCAGGCACAAAACGAGAGGTTTGGAAATAGTAGCCTGTTTGACAAACCTGTCTGAGAGGGAAGGATCGATACATGAAGTTGGTGATGCTCTACCTGTCACTCTATTGACAAGCTCCTCAGCTAGTCAGTAACATCATGTATGAATTATTTATCAAATGGACTATACACAACTATGCACTACCCTGCTTTTTTGTTTGTCCCAAATCATTCCATTTACCAAGACTGGCAGAAGATAAATTCTGATTTTGAGACCTGTGACCTGGTAAGCCTTGTTGGCCATACTGTTCAGGTAGAAGGCTGTCTTCACTGAAAAACCGGGTTGACTTTCATTTAGCATGATTTCTTTCTGGAGAGCTCTAAAAGATTTTATATTTACTAATCTTTTATTAGCAAAAAAAATTGAAGTACTTTCTATTAATAAATAATAGAAAAAAGTAATAGAGTCAATATAAGTTGATTTGTCTAAAGATATTATACTTAAAGCACAATGGTTAAGCTTAATAAGTGCTAGAGTATAGAGGCTACCAGGTCACGTTTTGAAGTCAGTTTGACTGTTGGAAGCCTGGCTTTTTTCCCACTAGCCATGTGACCTTTCGCAGGTTACAAGTTACCTCACTTCTTCAGGCTTAGTTTCCACAATTGTAAAATAGGGTTAATAATTGTACTTACTTCACTGGATTCTTGTAAGGGCTAAATAAATAACTACATGTAATGTGCTTAGATATGTGCCTGGCAAATAGTAAATGCTCGATTATATTTTAGCTGTGATTATTTTAAATATGGAGACTAATGTTAGAGTAATTTGAGTTAGAAGAAAGGGCTAAGTATCCAATAACATGTCATGCATACATAACTGAAAAAAGATCGCCAATGATTCAAATCTTAATACTGTCTCTCTCTCTCTCTTTTTTTTCTTAGTCATTAGCATGCATATAGTCAACCCATTCATAGTCTAAGATTTGATGCAGGTGTTAAAATTCACTTTCAGACCTTTGGGAAACACTTTTAGGTCACCAGTTCCTGACTGTTACTAATCATTTTAGAATTAGAATTTCAATACTTTTCTTTTAATAAGCTCATGCATCAATGCTTTACATACCCTTTTGTAGAATTAACTAAGTGTGAAAGACTGAAAGTCAACCACAGGAAGGTAGAGATTATGTATCAACCACTCTATAAGGAGAAATTCTTGTATACCATCATTATTACAGAGATATATAGATTCTGAGATAAATAATTTGAA